AGAAAGACTTCAAAGTAGTTGGTGTCTGAAAGTTATAGAGAAAACTATCTTAAGTCTACTTTATATCCCACATAGAAATGTAAAGTATATGGCAATGTATGCAAATTAAAGATGTCATACAAGTTTGTATTGGGATTTCACATATAGTTAAAATGTTATATGTGCAATATTTATTTTAAAATATTGCATTAAAACATATTTTATTTATATTTTTTTTAGAATTTTATATAATTTGTAGTTCATTGTAACTTATTAAACTAAATTAATCATGTTCTAACGGTCCCACTTTATATTAAGTGGCCTTAACTAATATGTACTTACACAGGAACTAATAGTTTGTTACAATGTACTTATTGTGTAAATACATGTATTTATTGTGTACTTATGCTTGATTAAATACCTGTATGTATTTAAATCTGTTAACTTCTGTAATTACATTTGTAAAAACACTGCTGACCATTTTCTACACCTTAACCCACCCTTAAACCTACCCATACCACCAAACCTGTCCATAACCCAACCTCTATCCCAACTCAAGAGCACCACAATTGTTCTCAAATACATTATGAACACAGTAAGTACATTGTATTTATTTTTTGATGCAAGTAGATAGTAGTTAAGGCCACTTAATATAAAGTGGGACCGTTCTAACTTCATTTTGCAAGCAGATTTCAGTCAGTTTAACATAATATAAGTTCAATGGAGTCATAAGGTTAATCTGATTCAGCTTAAAATTTGAAGGCAACCATGTTTTTTTATAGTGTTAATGTTGGAGAAAAAGACTTATTGACACCAATGTTCTCAAACTCAATTCCTGGAAGGCCACAGCTCTGCACATTTAGCTCCAGCCACCTCAAACTCGCACCTGCTTAAAAGTCAGTCTCTAGTAGTCTTGAACACCTTGATTATTTTGATCAGCTGTGATTGATTAGGGTTAGAGCAAAACTGTGCAGATCTGCAGCACTCCAGGAATCGAGTTTGAGATCTATGATCTACACCTTTAACTTTGGTTTGAAAACAACATTAGAATTTAGCACCATTTCTGGCCTTGTATGACAATCTCATTTGATTAAATTTTGAGAGCATAGGCTTGTATAACCCCTAATTTTCCTGGTAGTGTAGTAAGGGTAGAGACAGTTTTATTTTTGTGAATCCATTTTCTTTTTGAAAGCCTAAACATGATTCTGTTACTCACAGGTGTCAAACTCAGTTCCTGAAGGGCCGCAGCTCTGCACAGTTTAGTACCAACCCTAATTAAACACACCTGATCAAACTGATTGAGTCCTTTAGGGTTGTTTAAAACCTACAGGTAAGTGTGTTGGAGCAGGACTGAAACTAAACTGTGAAGTGCTGCGGCCCTTTAGGAATTGAGTTTGACACCGCTACTGTAACTCATTCACACTTAATGTTTGTGGTACTTCACACATGATGTTTCTTCAGTGTAATTATCTCCTTCTTCTAAGTATTTTGTATTTGTTTTAACTGAAAATTGAGTAAAATACAGACACATCCAATAATGAACAATTTATTGATGCATTTCAAAAAAATTAAATATAATTGAAAGATGGTTTATTTCAGTAATTTAATAAAAAAAAGAAACTTGTTAATTGTATAATTCAAACTGATATATTTCAAGTGTTTATTTATTTATTTAATTTTTTTTTTATGAATATGGCTTACAGCTAATAAAACCTTAAAATTCATTGCAATATTGCTTAAGACCCGTAAAAAATGATTGCAGAAATGTTAGATGATCAAAAAGTATGAACATGATGCAAATCAGTCAATACTTAATCAGGGTTTTTTTTTTTTTTTTTTTTTTTTAGCATAAATTACTTCAGCAATATGATGTGGCATAGAGGCAATCAGCCTGTGGTAATGCTGAGGTGTTATGAAGCTATGACTTCTCCGAAAGCAAGCTTTAGCTCTTCTGCATTGTTGGATCTGGTGTCTGGCATCTTCCTCTCCACAATACCCCACAGATTCTTTATGAGTTTTAGATCAGGTGAGCTTGCTGGTGTAGGAGTCCATCTATTACCCCAATGATGAAACTAACAGCATGGTCAAAGGTTTAATGCATGAAAGCCTTTTCTAGTGCTTCTGAAAAGAATTTTATTATTTATTAGAATTTATTTATATTAGATTTTTAGCTCCGAATTCAATCTGACTCCAATTTCAATGATCCTAAAATTTAGATTGTATTTCTAATTGTAAGAACGGATCACATTCATCATTTATGATTTAATTTAGAGTTTTGATATTTTCTAAGGTCCAATATTCTAATTGTACGTTCATTAGGGACCAACATCGCTCAGAGTTCTACACCCCGGGTTTGCGCATCTTCTCACGGACAATATGTTGTCACTCTGAAAATAGTCAGAGGATGCAAGATTAACTATATTTGAATAAGCTGGTCGCATTAACGCTTACCTAGTCTTAAAAAAACAGATCCTTAGCCAAGCCCATACAACTTGCTACTTCCAGTGGTTAAATGATTAAAAGGTCTACATGTTATAGGCCTCTATGCCTACGTATAATGATATGTGACTATTAATCAATTCAATTATGCCATACAATAAAGGTAATGAAGACTCCTCTTATCTACTGGATACAATGAATTCGCAAAACTCCAGAATTAATCAAAACTTAACATTTTATTTGTCAGGTAAAATTGTATTCTGCCAATTACATATTAAATCATCAGGAAGCCAATTCAGAGATGAGACTAACAATACGACATCCATTAATCAAAGATAACTCAAAGAATTATAGATGCATACCTGACCAGAGAAGTACATTGCAGCATGAGTCTCAGAGATGCTGCAATGGGGTGTCTTTTTACAAGATCTCCCCCGTCCTAAAGCACATCTTACCTTATATACTCAAGTCAAAACAAACAGCCATAAATTCAAGACAATAGAAGTGTCACAGAAACCCTGGCCTGGTGAATTTGAGGACTTAACCATCTCTGAGGAGGGAGAGCATCTTATCAAGATCTTATAGAAGTCAAAAACCAAATCAACATATACCAGTAAAATATTATTGTAAAATTAAGACCACTTTACCAATCACACAGAGACATTTAAAATTATACCAAACGTGAATATAGTGCTGCAAGATACACCATGTTAAAACCTTGAACATTTTATGTGAAATGTGCTCTAATCAGAAGGTAACATAAGGGTCAAGAAGGGGGGTTTAGGTGGTAGGGGAATGGTGACTTCTTCGCATTACCCCCTGCTGTAGAGTAGCTCTGTTTCTCCAGCCTGTGTTTGCATTGTCAACAGTGATTTGAATAGAACAGTGGAACAGTTGGTTTCTTCATCACTTCTCAGATTAGAAAATGCATTGGAACATTGCATCTTGTCTCATGAAATTCCATAACCGTTCTCAGGGTCTGATATTTTGGATCCTTACACTGGCCAATCAAGTACGGGGATACCATGGTCCTTAAAACTAATAATAACAATAACAATATCAGAAATAAAAGCAATAGCAATAATAATAATAATAATAATAATAATAATAATAATAATAATAATAATAATAATAATAATAATAATAATAATAATAATAATAATAATAATAATCATCATCATAATCATAATCATAAAAATGGTAGATCAAGTGCCAGGTCCTACTGGAAAGTCAAATCAGCTTCTCCATGAAGCTGGTCAGCAGAAGGAAGCATTAGACAATGTCAGAGGTACCTTACTTGGGTTAAGGAGAAGACTGTTTTCAGTGGGCCAAAGTCCTCTTTTCAGATTAAACTAAACTTTGTATTTAATTTGGAAATCAAGTTTCCAGAGTATGGAGTGTATAATTATAGTCTGTGGTGGTTTGGGGAGCATGTCATCTGGTTTTGGTCGACTGTGTTTAACAGGTCAAATGTCAGTGCAGTCATCTATTTCATGCTTTCCTCTGCTGACCACTCTTCATGGAGATACTGATTCAATTTTCCAGAAGCACTTGACCCCTGCTCACAATGCCAAAAGAATTAATACCTGGTTTAAGGACCATGATATCCCAGTGCTTGACTGGCCAGCAAACTAGTCCAACATGAAACTCAGAATCTGTGTATTGTGAAAATGAAGATGGAGAATCCAGATCCAACAATGCAAAAGAGGTAATTATTTTAGTTAAAACAAATGTTAATTAAAACCTTCATTCATTCATTCATTTTCTTGTCGGCTTAGTCCCTTTATTAATCTGGGGTCACCACAGCGGAATGAACCGCCAACTTATCCAGCAAGTTTTTTTATGCAGCGGATGCCCCTACAGCCGCAACCCATCTCTGGGAAAGTTAACTAAAACATTTTTCAAAAAATTTTGAAGAACTAAAATCTATTCAATAACAGTTTATATATAATATCAGCATCAAGCAACAAAGAAGTAAAATGAGACATAAAGCCACAACCGACAACATGCAATATTGTGAAGGGTTTTTAATGATGTTCTGCTATTTATATCAGCCTAATTATTAAAAACAATGATATACTAATATAATTTAGAATGAAACATAATAATAATAACAATAGTAGTAACTCATATGTAGAAGCCTATTAGCATTATTAGCAAATCATGGAAAACTTTTACTACTGACTGTAACAATTTATTGAGTTCATCCTTATTCTACTTCATATTGAATTCTCTCAGTTATATTATGTCAACATTTGGAACAACATAGTTTTAGATAAAGCTGATTTCTTTACAGCACACAAGAAAGTTATGTTTTAGTTTAAAGCCTTATTTTTGTTGATAACATTGTTAAATATCTGTTTACTTCCAATATAAGACAATTCATAACATATTTGAAAAAAATTATGGAAATACTACAGGTTACAAAAAAATCAGACCTGCAGTGCATCTGACTCCACTGTTGCATGATGTGTATATGCATGGACACTTGATTTTTGGGAAATAAAAACTGTTTTACTCAAAATTTATGTTTATAAATTGATAATAGATTGATCAAACTTTATTTTACATACTTATATTTCTTTTTTTTGTATTTCAAATTACTTTATTGTATGAACATTTTATAGGGTATGCATGTAAATCAAACAGATTCAGCATGTAAAACTCACAAATGATCAAAAACAGGTAATGAGTTTAGGATTGGCACAAAGTTAATACCTATTATGTCAAATAATGATCTGTTTACAACATTTCCTACCAAGGCTTGAAATTTGTTGTTAAATCAAGAAACAGAGGATGACACAGGATAAAATGAACAGTGAAATATTTATTTGCTTCAACTCAGAATAGCACATTCTTTAGTGGAAACATTATAATCTCTCTGTGTTTGTATTTAGTGGTACTGTCTTCCCAGAGCGGACACAGCGACAGCGATGAATTTCTGGAAAGCGGCCTGAACTTCAGGTGTGAATCCAGCACCCATCTGAGCAGCAACAACGATGGTCAAGCAATCAGCCAAAAGCTGTGAGAGGACACAAGAGTAGGGTTATATCGACACACAGCATGGATACCTAAAGACTTTCTTAAAAACATCTGTAATCTATGTCAGCTTACCCTGAAGTTGTCGGGATCTACGTGGAGCTTCTCGGAGTGCAGCACACTCAAATCAGCATAGGTGGCCTTGATGTTGTCCATGTTCTTCACTGCCAGCTCCAGACCTTTGAGCACAGTTTTACCGTGGGCAGCAACCATTGGGTTTCCCAGGATGGCAGCGGCATTGTAGAGGTTTCCAAACTTGGCGAAGTACCGCTGGGTCCAGGGGTACACGATGAGACACCTAATGAAAATTTTTGTATTAGAGCCCTGTCTCGAAACCAGTCTCCTGCCTTATGTTAGTGTTATGAATATAAGCTCCAAGACTCATTACCTTGCCAGAGCCTGAGGACCAATGACATCGTAGTCAGCCTTGGCGAAGATATCTTGAATGGTGGCCTTCTCGAAGTCTGTCCACACAACCATGTTTTCGACTTTAGATGTTCAGACTAAGTGTCTTAAACAGAAGCTAAAGAGTGCTGTGAAGACAGAGTTCACTGTGGAACTTTTAAACGAGGTTCACCACCACACCCCTTTACAGGCTATTGGGTGATGGGTTTGTGGGATGGTTCAAGCACATACACCCAAAAGATGCATATCTCAACCAGCTTATTTTCTCCAGTAATATCTACAAAGACTGTGTCTAAAAAGTTAATTTTATTAATATTATGCAATCAAACAATTTAATGATATAAAAAAACATTCTGACAGCCTTTTACATGGTAAAACATAATAAAATATTAAAAGGAAAAAATATAGAGTTTTTTGCATTTGAATATTTTAACATCCCACAATTGAGGCTAAACAACACAGCCTAATAAAACGCTTTTTTTTTCAGATGGACTGAACTCTTAATCAATGAAAGCATTTTAAAAATACTTCATGTAAGTTATTTTTAATCTATACAATTTTTAAACCTGCAACTGTTTCTACCGTCGTGTTTATTACACAAAATATAATATATATGTATGTATGTATGTATGTATGTATGTATGTATGTATGTATGTATGTATATACATATATACAGTTGAGGTCAGAATTATTAGCCCCCTGAAATATTAGCCCCTCTGTTTATTTTTTCCCCAATTTCTGTTTAACGATGAGAAGATTTTTTTCAACACATTTCTAAACATGATAGTTTTGATAACTCATTTGTAATAACTGATTTATTTTCTCTTTGCCATGATGACAGTACATAATGATTGACTAGATATTTTTCAAGACACTAATATACAGCTTATAGTCACATTTAAAGGCTTAACTAGGTAAACTAGGCAGGTTAGGGTTATTAGGCAAGTAATTGTATAACAATGGCTTGTTTTGTATCAAAAAAATATATATAGCTTAAAGGGGCTAATAATATTAATCTTAAAATATATATATATATATATATATTTAACAACTTTTTGGGTATTTTTTTTCAACTTTTCTCTGTTAAAAATGATTTGGGAAATATTAAAAAAATAAATAAATAAATTTAAAGAAGGGGGGGTAATATATATATGAAGTAATTCTGACTTCAACTGTGTGTGTGTGTGTGTGTGTGTGTGTGTGTGTGTGTGTGTGTGTGTGTGTGTGTGTGTGTGTGTGTGTGTGTGTGTGTGTGTGTGTGTGTGTGTGTGTGTGTGTGAGAGAGTGTGTGTGTGTGTGTGTGTGTGTGTGTGTGAGAGAGAGTGTGTGTGTGTATATATATATATATATATATATATATATATATATATATATATATATATATATATATATATATATATATATATATATAAACATCATGACAACAACATAAGTTTTTATGTTATTTTATGCTTTGATGTTATGTTTAATGTTATTAACCTTGTTTCTAACTTTATTGTATTTTTTTAAGTTAGCCTAGCCAAGTTGTTTTAAGTAAGTTTAAAGTAATTTTAGTTCAAATTTGAATTTAAAAAAAATATCTGTAAGTATATCTGAAATACCACAATGCCATTAATTTACTATAAAACATATAGGCTACATGTAGAAACATGTGTCCTGCATAAAATTTTATTCAAAACCTAAACATGTGATCTACTTTTGCTATAGATCTTGTTTAATGAGGTTAGCCTTGGGTGTGTCTTTCTTTAACCGGTTTAGGGCATATGTTAAACCTTTTGCAGACCCTGCAAAAATACACTGAAAACAGCACACATTGTTCAAATTGTTAAAATTCAGTTAAAAGGGACAAACTTTATAACAAAACTGAGTAAAAGCAGTTTATTGCTTATTGTATGTTTTTGCCGTGAGTGTAAATGCATGCATATTCTTTGTAATTGCACGTTCAACTGCTCTGGCATCGTAAATGTGGTCCATTTTAAATTCCCACTCATTTAGTGTAATTTAAGTACTGCCACAAACCCCTGCATCTTATTTATTTTCTTTCACCGGTTCCAGTTACACCCTCAAAAAACGTCATTTTTTAAAAAAAAAAAAGATATTTTACATCCTGTATAAAGGGACTAAATATGTTTAAAGACATAAGCAGGCTATATTCTTTAAACAATCCTGGTGTTTTGCATGTACACTCTCAGAAATAATGGTACGCGAGTTGTCACTGGGGTAGTACCTTTTCAAAAGGTACAAGTTTTTACCAAAAAGGTCCATATTAATTCCTCACGAGTACATGTTAGATACCTAAACAGTGCAAAAGTGTTCCTCTTCAAATTTGTTGGTACTAATATATGAGTGGTACCAATATGGACCCTTCAAGTAGAAATGTGTATCTTTTAAAAAGGTACTACCCCAGTGACAGCTCTTGTACCTTTATTTCTGAGAGTATAATTATTACAAAGTAAAGGGATTCGTTTTTATTTTTAGTACATTTAATTACAGCTACTTATAATATATATATATATATATATATATATATTATAATATATATAATTTTTGCTATACAAAAACAAAATAATTATGATAATAATAAATTATATTTTTTAAAACTAAATGAAAATATATAAGACAATTGGATTCCTAAGGAAAAAAATACCTGAGAAATTAGTTCATGACAATGTAAATTTAATTAACGGGATTAACTATTGAGTCAAGTACTTATATTACACTGTAAAAAATAATTGTTGCCTTACATTTTTAAGCTGAATCAAACTAACCTTATGAGTTTACTGAACTTAAGTTAAACTGCCTTAAAAGAGCTTGTGCAACTTTTAAAATAGAGAAAACATGATTTACTTAGATTAATGAGTTGCAATGAACTTAAAACATATCCCGTCATGACTAGTTCATCATATGTTTTTTTACAGTGTATTTATAGAATAACTATAAGATACTTTTCAGGAAAAAAAGTCATCAGAAAAGTCATTTAAATAATATTTTTAATTATGTGATTAATAATGAATTATTTTTTAAGCAACTTACTCCAAACACTGGGTGTAAGATAAGCATGTCTGCGGACTGTTTGGGAGGAGCCCCATCTGTCGCTTTACTATGGGCCTCTCAGAGGTCCCCCTGCTTCCTGTGAGCAGTATAAAACAGCCAGTCCTCCAGGCAGCAGACACAGAAGTTTGCTGCAAAGTCATCCTTCCACAATGAGTCTCTCTGCCAAAGACAAAGCTGCCGTCAAAACCCTGTGGGCCAAGATCGCTGGAAAGGCTGACGACATCGGACACGATGCTCTCTCCAGGTATGGCAATTAATGTGTTGTTATACGCTTAAACATTGTGTTTTCTTCAAGCCTGTCTCTGATAGTCTTGTTTCTGCCTAGGATGTTGATTGTCTACCCCCAGACCAAGACCTACTTCTCTCACTGGAAAGACCTGAGCCCAGGCTCTGCCCCAGTGAGGAAACACGGCAAGACTGTGATGGGAGGCGTTGCTGAGGCTGTCAGCAAAATCGATGACCTTAATGCCGGACTCCTGAACCTCAGTGAGCTCCATGCTTTCCAGCTGCGTGTGGACCCCGCCAATTTCAAGGTGAGCGCTATCAACAGTTGTTCTCAAGTTTGATACTTTCGTAGTGGCTGTAAACTAATTTGGTTTGTTGTGTTTCCTGCAGATTCTGTCCCACAACATCCTCGTGGTTCTGGCCACTTTGTTCCCCGCCGACTTCACTCCTGAGGCTCATGTTGCAATGGACAAGTTCCTTTCAGCTCTGGCTCTGGCCATGTCTGAGAAGTACAGATAAACACACTTCACTGTGCTCCAAACTCTCTGTTATGTATTGAGACAATAAATTATGATGAAAAACATTAACGAAAGGCCTGTTGTGTATGATTTCATTACATTATTTTTGTTGCTTGTCAGGAAAATGTGTTTTAAAATGCTGTTGACTTTACGTTTGTTGATAAAGGAATTGTTGACAGACAAGTATGGCAAGTCTAACATAAAAACTTAAATAGGCTACCTAATTCTGTATACTGGTCAATGAACATAATGCTGTGAAAGTATGGACACAAATTATAAGACTTACCCCACACTTAACTGTGCTCCAAACTCTCTGTTATGTTTTGAGACAGTAATAAATTGTGTTGAAAACCTTTAACTAAAAGCATGTGGTGTATGATTTAATTTTGCATGTCAGAAAAATGTGTTTTAATTTTTTGTTGACATTACGTGAGATAAAGCAACTGTTAAAAGACAGGTGTGGTACAGTATAACATTTTTAAAAAATGTAAATACTGTAGACTACTTAATTCTGTTTATGAACTCAATACTTATATAATTATAAGATATACTATAAATTCTGGCATTTCAAATAAAACCAAGAATAAAACTAATAAAAAACTTCTACAATAATAATGAAATAACTTGCCCCTTAAAAACCTTTACATAGGCAAGCATATTTATTTCATAAAAAAAAAAAAAAAACAGAAGCTGGAGGTGTCAAGTAGACCTAAGTAACTGAATTGATTAAAACACATTCATGAGCAATCATTAACTGGTTGCTTGTAAAAAAAAAAGACAATTGATTTTGTATGAATGTAAAGGGGAAAAGAGCTGATTTTGGTAAACTCATTTAAATGTTTGTAATATTTTTTGTTGTGTACAAATGTACTGTACTATATATTTTATGGTAAACCTTTTTATTAAACTGCTATTTTACCGTACATATGCTGTGCTTTACTAATAATGACAGCTAACTGTACTTTGGTCTGTTATAAAAACACATTGAACATCAGAAACACTCAAAACATACAGACATCAAGAGTCAGCGTATGAATCTTAACAATAATGAGACATTTCTGGCTGTAGTGAACTGCAGCTTGAAGTATGTCACAATGGTTAATACTCATATGCTAATCCTTGATGTCTGTTTGTTTTAAGTGATTCAGATCTTTTTTTAAAAACTGGCAAATACACTGCTGGCTCTCAGTATGCAGAGCCACTTGATTTTTATTATCACCTCAGTGAAGTTAACATCATATATTTATAATACAAGATTAAAGTCACAGACTACTATTGATTAAAAACTTCTGAAAGATCACATAACAACTTTTTTGCTTTTTTAATCTGCCTTG